AAGTTTACAATGGGATGTAAAGTTTACTTGTGTTGGTTAGTCTATGGTAAGACTATAATGCATTTTCCACCCTAATAATCATAGGAATAATGTTAAACATACTTCTAAATATATTTATTTTATCGACAACGTTGCTCTTACTCCTAATTAATCGTGGGATACGAAATTATGGTACCAATACGATATAGGTACTACACTTTCGGCAACACTGGCCAAAAATATTCGTGCTTGGCTCCCATTGGACGGCCCGCGAGGCTTCTGATTGGGATTTAGTGAGTTCCGCCGAGGGACCGAGTTAGCGACTTCCGTACGAGGACGGAATTCGCTAACCCGGCTCTAGAGCGGGTTAGCGGGTACCGGAGTTAGCCAATTCCGAAACCGAACAAGTTAGCGAGTTCCTCTCATCGACCAAATTTGAAGATAGGGCGTTTAACATGGGGTTAGCGAGTTCCAGAGTTAGCCAATTCCGCGGACCCCTCTGTCGTGATAGGCTCGCCATTTCACTCATACTCACTAACAAACATACTTCATTTACTGTACAATGCTCTGTGGCTAGTAAAATGGCATAAAATGCAGCAATGCATGACACATCTCCCCATTAGCGACACTACCTGTTGCGCATATACTGTATGTTTGAAAAAGTCTGGTTCCTGTCGGTCATCCTGTTTAAGTAATGTGTGTATAAGCCATGTATAAATTTCATGAACTGTCAAAATCACTAGTTTTATAAATCCCAAAATGGGAAATTCTCAACAAATACTGTTTTTTTAAATAACAACCCAAAAGTATAGAGAGTCACTGTTTAGAGACAAAAGTCCATAAGTTGGCAGCCCTGCCTCCTTTACTTCATTTCCAACCAGCTGATATGCATTTTTGCATAGTCCGTCCACATGGTGTAGTGTGATTGAAAATTTATTGTGAATAAGATTCAACATGTTTTTCTGTAGAATGTAACCCCCTGTTTCAAATGCAGACATGTGGGAAAAACAAGTATAATATTACATTGTGGATCTTTACAGTTGATTTACCCCGTAGTTTATTAATTATATACTGAAATCTCATCTAAAACTGATCACAAACATTTCTTGGCATAAAACGAATAATTGATCATAAACAGATCCTTCTATAATTCATACTTTTAGAGCTTCCGATAACACCATGTTGAGTTTTTTTCATAATAAATTCCCTATTACACTTAAACTGTGAAGTTAACAATGCTTAAATTCATATCAGCTGATGGTTAAGGAAGTAAAGGAAGCAGGGCTGCCAATTTATAAGGTTCTTTTGTCCCTAAACAGTGAAACTCTGTACTTGTAATATGAATTGTGTAAAAAAAATTACCATGTATATAAAATTAAAATGCCTTTATTCTTAAGCGCTTCTCAGTATAAACTAATTTACAGAATTACCCACATTAAAATTAATATAACCAAACAAATACAAGAAATGAAGAAATATAATCTTTTGATGAAAGCTGAGGCCAAAAGGCTTTTGAACTGCAAGGGGAGGTCTTTATAAATCTGTGGGCCAAAATAGGAGAATCCCATTCTAATTGATTTTAGGAAAGTGGAGGAGAGTCTGCTGTTTAGTGCCCCGTCGAGTAATAGCTCCACAAATCATAATTCTCTCCGCCAGGTATTTTGGTTCGTGATGAGATAACAACCGATGGATGAGACTGCAGGTTTTGATCCTGCACACAGTTTCGGCTGGAATAAACCAGCAGCATCCTGAAAAGAGGAGATGTTCACTGCTGTATTTTGCAGCCCATTAAGCCTGCTCATATCCTCAAATGAAGCCGTCGCCGTATGCAAGAAAACATTAATACATCACTGACAACACCAAAGACTGAACCAACTGCAATTTTGACACCAACAGAATTGAAAAGACTCTGTATGACATGAACTATTATATCAAATGAATCCAACAAACCAATAAACTTTGTATCATTTTTCAATATGTATAGCCTCCGGAGTAACAAATTAAGTGGTTTAAATACATGAATTTTATGTAATCCAATTGGTTTTGGTTCGACACTGGAACCATCATCAAGCTTCATAAGGACATTGTCGCTTCTTGAGAAGGTCGTCAAAGTTCACACAAACAATATTTACTAAACATCGAAACATTAAAAACACGACATGCATGACTAGATACTACGCGACCGGCGGGTGTTTACGTCTATATTGCCGAGCACTATGATCTTATCAGCAACAGGTTGTTTGCAAGTTCTATTCTTCTCCCTTTCTATTATCTCTATTGTAGTGTTGTATATAAAATTGGATGCAAATGAAAGCTTATCGTTTAGCATGTTTTGTTTGTCTGACTTGACTGCCTTATAAATCTCGTTTTCTTCCAATTTGTTGATTTGAATCTTGTTTTTATTAAGATGTAGAACGGTCATGTTATTGTTGATATTAGAGTAGTTGTGATTGTTAAATGCTCTGCAAAAGTTTATGGCTGGGTGGACGTGGTTTTCTTGGGGATGTGTACCTTAAACCGTTTTGAGAAAGAGCGTGATGTCTGGCCTATGTATTAAATTACTATCACAATCACTGCAATTAATTTTGTAAACACCAGTTTTATCATACTTTGATGTAGGTGGGTGAGGACGCTCCTTTAACACAGATCCAAGTTTGTCAACCGATTTAAATGCCACTGTGATGTTGTTCTTGGCCATAATAGTTTGAAATGTGTAACTTAAATGAGTTGCGTAGTCGGCTGATAAAATCCTCTTAGGCTATTTGTATTTTGTTTGAATTGTAATGGTTTAAATACCTGCATTCAGTAATCCAAAATGTTGCTTGTGGCTACTATAGTTTCGATTCACAGAGAATCATCTTCAGGCCGTACAAGGCGTCGTTATTCATCTCCGTATATGAAGGTCGTCATTTAATAAATAAGTACATAGAACACGAACACACACGAAAACGTAGATTGAAAGACAAACATTTATCATAAAAAATACCGAGTACTCGGAGACAGGTGACGTGAGCAGGTGGAAGTTGTAGCTCGAACTATTTTGTTTCATTTTTATCTTTATTCAGATGTTTAGATATCAGCTTATCTACTATATTACTTTTGAATCCATTTTTCACAGCTATGTATTTAATGATATTCCTCTTCATAATCCTTTACATTCAGTGGTATTGTCAATAACCTGTGTACAAAACTGTTGTACGCAGCCATCTTTTAGGAGTATGGATGGTGTGACTCAGAAGGTTTGGTCAGTACAAGTATATCTTGAACTCAAAGTGGTCATGTTGTTTAGTCATGTTGCTGAGGTCGAGAAAGTTTCTGGAACAATCTTTTTCCTATTCCAGAGTAAATTGTATATTTTTATGGATGTTGCAAAGGTGTGTATTTAATAGGGTCAATTGTCTGCTGTTTCCATTAAAGAGGACGATGGTATCATCTACATATCTATGATAAACAACTATTCTATCCCTGTATCGATTGGCGTCTGTGAACAATGTTCTGTTTTCAGGTTCATTTAAAAATGCTTCGGCCAAAATGCTTGAAACAGGAAAACCCATGGCTAAACCTTCTTTTTGATTATAGAAGCTGTTTTGAAATTTAAAATACAGTAATTCTGTATCAATACACCATTATTTGTTAGTTTTATCAAATCATCTATTGCATCAGGTGAAAGATTAGTGTTATTTAATACATTCAGATTGAGAATGTCTATTGTATTTGTATTGTTTCGTTAACGAGGATGTTTGTATATATGTTCACAATATTGAATGATGCTAGTCTTTGGTTATAATTATTGACAGTGATTTAATTATTTTAACCAAATCTAGTCTATTTTTAAGGCTATGGTTATTCTCTAAAACAATTTCTTTTCTGATTATTTTATCTAGTTTTTTTTTGCGACTATACGCTGGTGAAGGCATAAAGTTAACAAGAGGTCTTATAGGTACATCAGGCTTGTGGATCTTTGGTAGTCCTCGGAGTACTGGGGCTTCCAGGTTCGTGACTTTTAAAGAATTTATTTCAGTTTTTGAAAGTAAATGTTTGCTTTGAGAAATAGCTTGGTTAATTAATTTTGCATTATTGGCTGTGGGGTCTTTGTGTAGAGTTTCAATATTGTTATTTTTTATGAAGCTTTCAACTTTGCTGACATAGCCTAGTCGTCTTTGTAAAGGATTACGATGGAGTTGCCCTTATCAGCTTTGGTTATCACGGCATTATGCTCGGCAAGTTTTGTCCTGTCGCTTGTCAGGGCATGTCACAATGTCTTGAACCTTTCATTGTACCTCTTTGTTCTCGCAGGATTTTTGCTATGTCACCCCTATGCTATGTCAGCTTTGTTGCCCATAATAACTCGAGCTGTTTCTTGAACATCGTTTGATTTAATGTCTTTGATGGCTGCTTCTAAAAGTTCTGTTACTAAATTTTGTTTCTTGGTGTTTGGAAAATTAAAGTTCAGACCCTTATTTAATAAATTCATTTCATCCTTATTAAACTCTATTTTTGTGTAATGTACATCCCTATAAAAGAATTTATGAGAGCATTTAATTATTTAATTACATCTACTTCGAGTGTTCCAGTGTGAATCTATTTCAATCATTAAATTGTTAACTTACACGTGCAATTGGTTCAACAGTTCAACGTGTTTCTTAAATAATAGCTTGTTCAAAACATTCTTTTTGAAGTATAAATGTTTAATTTCATTTTTTATCCAAGTAACTTCAGCCTGTCTTTTAGCTTTCAATGCAGGTTTTGATTTGCTACTGACTCTTACATTTACGTAATGTGGAATGTTATTCTCTAAGCACATTTTATTGAATTTTATGTTTTCTGATGTTTTACTCAGTTTTAATTTTATGTTCTTGTATTGGTAGGCTAGTTTTGCCTGCTCAACTAGCATGTATTCCAAAAGTTTGGATTACATAAAATATATTTATCTATTTAAACCACTTATATTATTACTCTTCACATAATTTATCGAATTACATGTGAGTTAGAATGTAAAAAAAAATTAAATTTGCTTGCAGAAACTGACTAAGTTTGAGGAGTCTACCGGAATCTACTTTGACCACATAAGACTGCTGGCTCGTGCATTTACTGACCGAAGTATGGGATATACACATCTCACATTGTAAGTTCTGAGTTGTTATTAAGTAAAGTAGAGCTCCAATTATCCTAACTCCAACCATCTGTATCCTCTGAACAGAACTCCATATCACTCCACTCCTTTCAATGACCCAATTTGCTGATTCACAAACTCGTTCAAGTGTATCCAGCCAGGTTCATGCCAAATTTCATCAAATTCAGGAAAAAATTACCTAAGTTATTGTGTTCACTGACACATACATATACAAGTTTTAATAAATATTGTTTTTGACCTCTGGGAACATAAAAATGAATAAGTAGGTCCTGGGTCTATGTCTTGCCGTGCCATTGGCGGTAACAGCTTCTTCCCTTTAGATAAATTCGCTAAAAAGGAAAACTCATTTATTTTTACTAACATGTCTCTTGAAAAACCCAACTAGCCTATCCAGATTTTTGGATGGAGTTCGGACAGTTGGATTTCTAGTGTACATCTAAAAGTTTGTTCACCTGTCTTTACCAAATATATATTTTCCAAAGCAAATATATTCACTGTAAGGCTTAAAATCAAATCTTTTTTATTCCATAGTCATTAATTATAGTACAATGATAAATAAATAAAATAAAATTGTTTATATGTTGCGTCGACGTATAATACTCCTCAAGAATAATGTAACGATGAGACAGAATAATCTTCTATTTTATAAAAACAATGTTTTATTAGAATATTCTTAATTAATGCTTTAAAGTCTTTTTTACTACAACAGTTTTTTTTTTTTTTTAACTAGCCTTTTCAATTAGGTTCTTGGAATTGAACATAGGTATTCACTTTACAGTGTTGTTTACTTACTTAACAGAATTATTTTTTTATTTGTTACTTTACATTACTATTTTGTACCAATGAGGTTCAATGATTGTGAGAAAAGAAGTAAAATTGTAATGCTTTGAACATCAACATATCTGCTATTAAGGCCAATTTAAGTATTATAAAATGAATGAGTGGTTGGTACAATAAACGTTGCATCACAATAGACAATGAGAGGTTTTAAAGAAAAACATAACCTCTCTTAAACCTTATGAGTAGTAATTGTTAGTAATTAAAAAACGGTCGTAGGTAAAGTAGTATACACAACCTGCTTAATTAGCCTTAAATAATGCTCGTACCTTAAATTTTCTGCTGTCTAGTGTATTAATGACAATTTTTATGCGATCGTTGTGTTAACTACTACTAATGGTAACTCTATAACCCTATCTAGTAACTTATTGAACGATTCGGTTGCAATATATTAAAAGCTAGCCTGAAAATTGGCATACAGGCACTGAACTGTTCTTAACTCTTTACCATTTCTTGTGGCATAATGGTAAACATCCTTTGCAACAAAATATCACAGTTAATTTTTATTATTGAAATACATTGGAAGATGCATGCTAAGGGCATCACAGACAATTTGTTAAAAATAAAATTACAATGAGGTGAAACATTACTTATCAGTTTTTTTGTTTTAATCAAAATGTTTTCAAACAAGGAGTTACTTGTTTATTTATTTATATAATTAATTTATTCATTAAATTAGAAATTGTCAATCTCATGGCTCGTTTTTCTTTGCAGAGGATCGAATCAAAGACTAGAGTTCCTTGGAGACACAGTCCTGCAGCTGATCACATCTGAATTCTTGTACAAGCATTTCCCTAAACATCATGAAGGTCATCTGTCGGTAAGAGTTGCAATTATTACAACATTGAAACATATGATCAGTCATGTGTGTTCCGTTTTTGACTTTAGGGAGTTGAAGACATCCAATTCTTAAGTTAAACTTGTAACCGGTTAAACATTATGGATCCAGTCACTAACAACGTGTGTTGCTGTCAATCGCAGATTTTTTTCCTGTACACACAATAACCAAGACTAATTGAAAGTACAATGTACTGTAAGTTGTAGTCATTAAATAATCAAAACATCAATCTAGACAATTTTGGCAGATTTTTTTTGTTGGCAGTAAAACTCTCTGTGGTCATTCAACTATGTTTCCTTTGTAAACTTAATTCAAATTTTGTGGTTCCAATAATTATCAACATTGCCAAGTGCTGACTGTTTTGTCTTGCATTGTTCAGAGGAGCCCTCACTAGTTAGACCGTTCCTTTACACCTAAAATTTGTTAGACTAGTTGCGGAATCCACAACATTTTTGTTGGTGTATCCAGGCTTTTTGTCCCACCTTTTTGCCAGCATTGAACAGTTGAAAGGCTGTAAGTAACGGTACTTCTACCTGTCCCTTTCTTGTAGAACTACAACCACAATCCCAGAAACGCAGAACATGGTATTCTGTGTAGAGGCCCCAATCCCAGAATCCCGGCTGGTTTTTGATGCTCTGAAATCCCAATACAACCACCTTTTAATCCCAAAATTAAGAAAATTGTAATACCTATTTTTTAAATTATTTTTTTCTAGTTTGAGGGGTTTTACCATTGACTATACACAGAATAGACTTCCCATGTAATGTAAAATTTGAAGCAAACGTGGTGCAATCTGTTGAGATGGTCACCAACTAATGACAATATTCTGTGTTAAGTGATAAATCAATCATCTGTTTGCTATGATACTGCATTGGTTTTAATTAATATTCAACCCAATACACTAGTAAACTCTGGTGAGATGGTCCTGAACTTCATCTATTTTCTTGGCTTCAAACTTTCATAGCACATGGGAAGTCTATTCTGAGTATAGTCAGTGGTTTAATTTTACATTTCCGTCAGTTTATATCCTGCAAACATTAATCTTGATAAAAAAAAATCTTGAATCTTTTATAAATGAAAACTATAACCATAATTATTTAACACAATATCAAAATGATTTACAACTGCCCATTCATAGACTTACCTCACTTGAAACCCTTCCACAATATCTAGGGAAAAAACTGTATAATAAACTTCCTGAAAATATTAAATCATTAGAATCTCTTGAAAAAATACAAAAAAGAAGTTACCAAATTGCTGCTTAATAAAGGGTATTACAAGGTAATGATTTTTAAATTATGTATATATTTGATTTCTTAGGATGTTGTATAGTTATTATAGTTTTATGTATTTTAATTGTCCATGACCATTTCACCTGTTTCCCAGCTATGCTGGATCTGTAAAACGTTGTGTGAAAATAAATTATTTGACTTGACTTGACTTACGGAAAGTAAATAAAAATATGTCTAATAACACGTGAAACATATTGTTACTGATAAAATTAAAGGCTAACCTTATCCAACCACAGTTGCTGGTATGACAACTAGTTTCGTTTCTTAGAACTTTGTCAGGTCATTGTATGCAACCACATTATCTATTAATACATTGTGGTATGTCTAAAGATATAATACTGTAAAAATCACAATCGTCAAAACTAGTCATGTTGATCAAATTATTAAAATGGAATAAAAAGGGATAAAACTGGTTAAAACTGTAAAGGCTGGCCAGCACTGTCACTGACTAAATAAAACTGACGTTGATTTATATAAAACTGATAACATATATTTACTTTTATACGGTTTACATAAGTAAGAGTAAGTAATACAAAAAAATGTGAGTGGTGATTGATTTTGATTGGGTGTCCTGTAAGTAAGCGGACCTAACCCCAGAAAATGGTTCATAGGCCAGAATAAGGATAAAATCTAGAATAAGCTTTTAAAAAAACACTTAATTCATTTCTTATATCTTTCAGTTTGTCCAACTGATCTATATGAAACTTGGTATGCGTTTAGAAGTGGAAGAGACCTATATTAAAAAATAATAAGTCGGTAAATCAATTGGATTAAAGACTCTGGATTGAGACCCCTAATTCTGTTGCTCTTTTGATGGACAGAATATAATTCAGCACATTGGCTATTCCTTTTCTTTGCTTTTCCCCGCTGTTTCACTGTTTCAGCGAATGTGTTAAAAAACATTAGGTACAGGTCGTGGCAAAAAAAAACTAATTATTTTCTGCAGCTCCCTGTTCTCCGACAGGTCTTCTGAGGGTGTTGGGGGTAGGCTCTTTGGAAAGCTTACTCACGCCCGTTATCTGTAGTCATAGAACAGTGGTACTCTGAGCTTTGTGCACGTTTGTTATCGAGTCATATTGAAAAAGTAATGATTCAGTCATTGCAACTCAGCAGCAGTTCTGTGCATTCTATAATTAGGGCTACATGAAGAAGTTCTGTCGTATAGCACAATCATTCGGTGGGTTACTAGTTACTAACTTTATAACAAAGGCTTCTACGTTTAAAAAGAAGCTTCCAAAGTCAGATTGGATGCCAGACAACTAACATTCAACAGAGTTCGTGCTGCTGTGAAAACAGTCCATTTAGGCCAGCCTGAAAACAAGCAGCTGCTTTGAACATGTCTGACCGCTCGGTTACTCAAATTTTTTTGTTTGATTTTAATTCTCATTCCTACAGTTTAATTGTTATCAATCTTTTTAATTTGTTGATTATCTATACCCTACAGATAATCCCTACGGAACCTCTCCACCTCGAACTAATTGAAAGAATGCATTGAACTGAAGCATGAGTCGCAATGACTGAATCATTAAATTTTTCAAACAACTTGATTACAAACTCATGTAGCTCTTGCGACCACTGCTCTATGACCAAAGGTAATGGCAGCGTGTAGGCTTCCAACGATCCTACCCCCACCACCCTGAGACGACCTGTCGTTGAACAGCACGCTTCAGAAAATAGATAGTTTTTTTTTGCCGCACCCTGCACATTTGAATGTAAGCTTCTTCATGAATGGCAAAATTTTCAAAAGAGCGGGTGTTCACAAAAGCTTAGTACAGTTTAAATCTCAAGCCATTACTTTTCAATGTACGTCTCCCTCTGTAGATTTGACATTTAAATCTTATCACAATAAAGGAATTATGTTTTCTACTAACTGTTTATCATTTCAGCTCTTGAGGAGTGCTCTCGTCAATAACCGAACACAATCCATTGTGTGTGATGACCTCGGTATGGCTCAGTTCACCATCTCCTCCAACCCAAAAGCTGAGCTCAAGACAAAAGATCGAGCCGATCTGTTGGAAGCCTTCCTTGGTGCCTTATATGTTGACAAAGTGAGTATGTTCTCATCACATTCGCTTCACTTCAGTGCCTTCGAGGGAGTATTCTACGTTTCACACTCCTTTTGCATTATTACAGGTCTTATACGAAAAACTGATATTTTCAAGGGGTTAGAACATTGTATTCTTTAGTTTTAATTACATTAAATCTGTGACTATCTGTACTAATAATTCAACATGTGAAACAGATCACAAAGTCATCACTTTCGTACACCTGAGATTCAAATTATGTGTAAAAATCCATCAAGAAATTACCTATTTTTTATTCAACCTTAATTAATATTGTTTTGGTGTTTATAAACTTCATTTTAAAATTGTTGTCCAAAGCAACCAGAGGCAGTTCTATAGTCTTCTTAATGTAAACTATTCATATTTGTTCACATTTCGCAGAAGCACCCATGAAATTGAGCGGTTTTATCTTAACATTATTTAATTATTTTTTAACATATTATTTAAATTTTTAATCTACAATTTTAAATGGAAACAATATTTTTGTGTAGGGATGGATAACGTACAATACAATACAATACAGTACAATACGTACAATACAGTACAATACAATATTCTTTATTGTTAATTACTGTAAAATTTTACAGTAATTAAAATAGTAACATGTTTCTGAGTGAAGGGGAGTGGAAAATGTAGTGATTTCATTACATGTCTTTTCAAAGACTTGCATTTACATTTTAAACTTAAAACCTCTGGAGTGGCTTCTAAAAAGTGAGTGATAACCTAGAATTCAACCCAAACAGTTTCAGCTTCTACCATTTTTTTTACTGATTACTGCATAAGAGTTCAACTTTATGTGATGATCAGTACATAAATGGAAAAAAAAACATCACTACCGACAGCGCCTCAAAGCCCAACATCTGCTGTTTTATGTTTAAATCACTGTAATGTTTGACGCCTATTCTATACTCTATGTTCAAGAATAAAGTGTTCTGATTCTGATGAAAACTAGCCAATTAGATGAATATGTCCTGCAAAACAATATAACATTTAATCAAGTCATATTATTCATTGAACAATTATTTTAAAGAAAGTGAACATTTCAATAAAACTCAAAATCGTTGTAAAAATATTTCTTATAGGCTAAACTGAAATCAATAATTTATCACACGTTAACATAATACATTGCAAGCTTGCTGATGATTGACGTTTAAAACAATGCTATCAGCTATTTCCTGATGTACTGCATTTAAATATCAACAGCTGATCTTATGCCTTTGTTCATGTCGAATACGGCTTCTATAAGGATTACATAACATAAAATCTTTGCAGATTCCTGTGAAATTTTACTTTATGGATATTGGCATCACCTTGCAAAATTCGAAAATGATTGCTTCAGCCGTCTATGATCAGTTCGCGTATGATAAAATGCATAAGAGCTGAAGTTTAAAATCTTCACTTGCTCCACTCGGATATGAATTTAAATATATTTTTCTGTTGCAGGATTTGGACTTTTGTAAAACCTTCTGTGATGTCTGTTTCTTCCCACGATTGAAAGAGTTCATTCTAAAGCAGGATTGGAACGATCCCAAGTCAAAACTACAGCAGTGCTGCCTTACTCTGCGTACTATGGAGGGTGGAGAACCTGAAATCCCAGTCTACAAGTCAGTTACCCATAATACTAGTGAAGTGTTGGTTGTAGTTTTTATCAATTTGGTGTATGTTTTATCAGAAGGGTGTCCACATTCTGGAAAGTCAGGATTAGTTATGGAAAAAGATTTTGGTCATTGAAAGTACAATACAATACAATACAATACAATACAATATTCTTTATTGTTAATTCGTCAAGAATTACAATAGTGTCATTTTACCCCACGTTCTCGCATCCTTGAACTTTTTCATAAGCTCTGATAGATTTTAAAATTTTTCCCCCTCCAAACGATCATCTGATATGATGCCATCAAGTATCTTGTTCCACGCTTTTTGCAAAGTTTTTCCCTTTACCTTGTTCCAGTATTGGGTGCTCCAATATACCACCTTTCATTGCCACTGATTTTTTTAAGGCATCATTGATTGTCTTGTTGCCACTGTCATTTTCTTGGAAAGTATGTCTCAACAAAAAACCTCTGTATTGTCTCTTCAGTGTTTCTATGACTCCCTGGTCCATTGGTTAGATTAGGCTCGTTACAGTTGCTGGCAGAAATCTCAGAGTTATTTTACAATCCTTCATATCTTCTGGATGAGTTAGAGCTTTGACGACCAATTGATTGATTGATTGATTCTGTCAAGGTGGACCTTGTCCTGTTGCACGTCAGCCACTTATGGGCTTTTTGTGCTCCCCGCTTGGTGCGTCTTGACCACCAACAAGATGGCTTTCAAACGGAGATTGTTAGACAACACTCTCAGTTTCGGACAAAACTGTTGTGAAACCATTCCTCGAATAGCTCGTTGGAATCCATTAATTGCTCTGAGCTCTATAGTACACTTGAAGGTTGTTGGAGAAATATTTTTTAGAGCTCTGGGCTTTACAACCTTTCCAATGTACATCAATGGAAGCCTTTCCAATGTACATCAATGGAAGCCTAAAGAATTGCTGCGGTTAATAGAGATTCTCTATTTGATTCTCTATTTGCATTTTTTGGCCAGGCACAGAACTTTCTTTTACACAGGCTAAATATTTTTTGGTATTTATGTAACCCTCCCTTAAAATTCTGTTTTTAAAACATCCACTACATCTTAATCCACTGACAACTTCTTTCCAGATAAATTTAACTGGCGAATCCCATGTAGCGATTCTTAAACCTGTCAATCCACCCGTTATGGTGCAACAAATCCATGTCCATCTATGCCAAGCCTTTTCCTAAAGAACATGGTTATTTATTGGGGCTACTTTTTCTCTTTGTTGTGCAAACCATATAACAATGCTACATTAACGTTTTCAAAATCAGAAGTCTTCAAAGTCTTAGGATTAGGAACTGTTAGGGAATGTTGCAAAAGTTTTCCTTACTTTTAATCCAGTCTGCAACTGTTGAGATAGGCCTACCAACGTTGCAATCTGCAACGCATTCATCAAAATTTCCTCTTCATTGACATTAAACAAATTGTAAAACTATAAAAAAACAGTAAACCTTTTGTAACAAACGTGACGGGCAGAAATAGCTTTATATTTAAGTCACCTCAATTACAAGACATAAACGTGCAGTTGCAAAGGTTTACAGTGCACTGATAAGTATATAACACTGGCCACAGTGATATGGAAAGTTTGCGTGGAATGAGCAGGTAAGGAAGGGTGTGTCAGTCCTTGGGGTGGGAGACTCTTAGAAGGTCAGTGGCCACCACTATCTCATGTCATGCCAATGCTGGGCCACGGCCGACAATCTCTGTTGCTCATCTTATTTTCCAATTTATTGAATGTATTACCGTTTTAGTTAACCCCAGTTTCGGTTTAACGGGTTGAATAGGATTTTACTGTATTATTTATTCCTCATTTCATAATCACCCATGACCGACAAAATTGATAGCATCTCCCGCAATCCTGAAGACATTGTCACCCGTGATTGCGCTGAAATTTTGAACATCTTGTGCAATCACAGATTAATCTTTATTTTTTCCATTGATAGCTCGACCCTTGATTATTGCACTGATAAATTGAAAACAACAATTTCCATTTCCATCAATCCTCGGTTTCGGGTTTTTTGCTAAAAACTGTTAAAACAGACAACTAACTTAAGTTATTTAACTAAATTGGAACTAAATTGGGAAACAGAAAATAGTGAGATTTACTCAATTTTATATTATTGTTATAAAACATTTTGTTGTGAAGACTTGTACACCAGCTGTCCATATTTTGTCAGACCCTGTATTTTTTATTGGCTGTTACTATTGAAGAGTCCTCGAATATCCTATAATATTTTATATCCATAAGCATCAAGCAATAACGTCACATAACCATTTTCAGAGTGGTTGAATGCATGGGACCAACGAATACCCGGATTTACTCAGTCGCCGTCTACTTTAAAAACCAGAGACTTGCGAAATCCTCTGGTCACAGCATTCAGCAGGCCGAAATGAATGCTGCCAAGAATGCCCTGAAAAACTCAGAAGGTCAGTTTAGTAGTTAAGAAACAATCTTCTTACAGTAGACTCCCTCTAGTTCGGCTTCGGTTGGATCGGCCGCCGGATGGTCCGGCCTGGTCTAAGGGGGACAAGTCACATCGTCACGGGGGAATTGCCTTCGACAGGATTTAACTTGAATGTTTAGTTTCCGGCCAGAGAAGTAAACAATTCATGTCAGTTTAGTTGACGGGTGCTTCTATGGGTGAATTGTTGCATATTACCTATGTAAAACTATGTTACATAACCTCAAAAATACCAAGAACATTTTATAAATAGTTTCTCTTCGGTCTAATAAGTTGAAATGCAGTGTATAATTAAATATTTCGGACCATTTTTTTATGCGGTAGGTTCTCCCATTATTATTTTTGAAACACCACAGTTTATTTGACAAAAATAAATTAAAGCAAAACAAAGAAATAGCCATCGTTAGCTTCAAGGTCAAGCTATCCGCTTGCACTGACAATCATCTGTTCTTTACACAACTGATGTCTGCTGTGCACTTGTTTGCTATCTCACAAACAGTTTGTGATTGGGTGATTAGTAACCATTTTTTTCTGTTCTTTACGTGATTTATTGTTGTACGTTCAGTGTTGTGTAATTTTTGTTTTGCTTGAGTAAGCGTGATTTTAACGTTACAGTTTTTATTACTGAACCAAGGTTATTGACTTAACATATCACGATTGCGCAATACTATGATTTGTATTTTGATTATGTAAAATGCACTACATCCGGTTAGTCCGGCCGTTTTGTAGTTCGGCCAGTGGTCCGGTCCCGAGGTGGCCGAACTAGAGGGAGTCTACTGTATTCACATTACACAATTTGACCACGTCTTTCCCTTAGTCTTAGTCATAGTAATAGTTCTTTATTCATTTTTTGTACATAGTCTGTACAGTAAATAGCGTCATATATAATACAATACTAAAACTAATTAAAACCTACTTTTTACAATTTACTAAGCAAAAATGAAAAGTAATGACAAAAATGTTTATATCTACAGTAGGTTGGGAGGTGGAAAATTCTTCTATGGAGTAAGGGGCCAGTTGTATCAAATATTCAAATATTCTAGTTTCAGCAATTTCCTGAACTTTTTTAAATTATTTTCTCTTATGTTTTCTGGAATGTATTTAAGAAAATTATATCCTATGTAGGTTGGTTTCTTTTAAAAAAAAACTTAATGTATGTGGCAGGATAACCTCATTTCTCTTTCTTAGACTATACAAATGAGCCCAGTTGAACAATTCTTTGCAATAAGAGTAGTTTCAATAATAAATTGCCCGTAAACAGGTAAAATATTTAGATTTTTTGAAATGTCCTTTTGCTGATGCATCATACTCTAACTTGATGCAAACTTGATGCTCTAACTTGAACCTTATAATTATTACTTACTTACTACTGGCCATTAGTATCACAAATGGTACTAAGCCTTGCCTACACACTGCCTTCAGCCTTTTATGTCCTGGGCCTGTTCTTCATTTCATCCCAGCCTCCTTAGGTCCTGGTGTACTTGGTCCCTCCATCTGAGTTTCGACCTGCCTGAAGGCCTTCTGCGTTCTGGGCTGTTCCTCTAGACATTACTGATGGTGGAGTCTACATCTCGTCTTAGGACATGACCTGCCCCATAATACGTTGACTCCTTACTTCAGCCTACTTATAGCATCCTTCTAATTATTATAACTCTTTATTGTATAGGCTATCATACCTTAGAAACACCATTTAATTTATTTGTGGCTATAAAACATTGAGACTGGCCCCAAGGCCAACCACCATATTACGAAGATAGTTCGTCAACTACCATCGTAGATTGGGTTAGCCTACTTAGTTCTTCCACACTCTTCATTTGTGTCAGATCATGTATTTGGAACTTGTCGGAAAATGGTGTAATTGAGCAACAACCAATTTCAAATTCAAACATTCAAACTAATGTTTATGTAGGTTCTTAGCCTATACTATCTTTGTTAGGTTTGAATTGGATTTGCTTAACAGAACATAATACCTATTGCCCATTTGTAAAACAGAAATCAATGAGATGTGTAACCTAAATTACAGTACTTACATTCAGAGACGTAGTACACAAATTATCACGTAAAATCTACATATCATAACTAAGCTATAAGAATGAAATTCTACAGCATGCACAACATCCATCAAACCTAGAATATTGAGAGCGCAGGGTTTGTTTACACTCACGGACCTGTTCCAAAATCTGTTACCTCATTTTTGACCAAATGGTTAAAAAAGTGGTTTCATATTCAATAAACCGGAATATAAAATTTTATCTTTCAAAATTTAGATTTAACTCATTTTTATTTGCAAGCTACGCTTAAAAATAATTATAAAAAAATCCTTACCAGTTTGCCCCCCCTCCTATATCTGACGCTGCTTACAGTGTTTACAAATGTTTGTTCTTAAAATTGTTTTAATTCAAAAATTGATGGAAATAAAATTTCATTCTTTGGGAAGTATCAATAAATAAATAACTAATGTTGGTGCCCTAATCATATTGACTTGAATTGTTACAGGGTTATTTCCCCAGCTCGATCATCAGAGACGGGTCATATCTAAGACAATGAATCATCAGAAGCAGGGGGGCAATACAAAGACATCTCCATTATCCACTAAAGACACCAAGGGTGATGTGTTCTCTAAAACAATTCGATCCAGGACACCACCCCTGGCATACAGAAGCAGAAATAAATCACCGAGTCCGAAGATGAGTTCTGAGAAAGAAGAAAAAAAAGAAGAACCTGTGATATGTAAACCTTCTACCAGTAAAGTGGCTAAAGACACCAAGGGTGATGTGTTCTCTAAAACAATTCGATCCAGGACACCACCCCTGGCATACAGAAGTAGAAATAAATCACCGAGTCCGAAGATGAGTTCTGAGAAAGAAGAAAAAAAAGAAGAACCTGTATCATGTAAACCTTCTACCAGTAAAGTCAGCCCAAAAGCAACAGATACCAGTGCTTCAAGACTACCGAGAAAAAGATCACAAGAGGGTGGAAAAAGAAAAAAATCACCCTCGCCAATACCTAGACCAAAGCAAAAGAAACTTGAAGATAAGGACAGATCAGGAGTAGGAAGATCGTCCCCAATAAATGGGCGTTTAAAATCAAACCCTATGCCGGTTGTGGCGACGTCCACAAGAAATTATAGGACGGTGGTTGATACACATGTATCAAGAAAATCAAGAAGAAGTAGATCTCCTGTTGGCCGAGATGTGCACAGGAGAAAACTTAGAAGTATTTCTAAGGAAACCGAATCCAGAAACAAGAACTTGACAAGTAATCGCTCTAGAAGGAGCAAATCAAAGTCACCCAGGAGCGTTTCATATTCAACTCGTGGAAGGAGAAGTCCAGTCCCTCGTAGACACAGATCTCCGAAGATCCCTTCCAGGAGCATTAACTACAGGAGCAGGTCTCGTTCTCCTCGTAGCCCTCCAAGAAATCAGTATTCAGATAAAAAGGATTTAAAAAAGAATATGTCAGACTTTTTGCTGGGAAAAAGATCTTCCCCTGGCATAGAGACAAGAAAAGCTCAAAATTCAACTTCATGGTTGTTTGATATAATGTATGGAAAATGAAAAGATCATACTTAAGAGCAGCTTTAAAGAGTCAATTGAACAATTTTGTATCAGTTGCTCTATTTACATATTTCTAACTGTGCCATAATTTTACTATGTAAGATATAGTCAAACCTTGCCTTAGGTCATATAATATGTAAATTTTGTACAGTTTTTGTAGCATTTTGTTTGCGTAAAATAATTATTACCATATGTTTTTATAAGTTGTCATATGTTCCTACTTAATGTGAGAAGAGTTGTGAGTTAAAAGTTTTACTTTTTGATGAAGTATTTTGTTAGAAATCTGTTTATGTACGAGACACAATTGCAGATAATTTGCTATGGCGATGTGTTGTAACAATTTGATATCATTGTTTACTTTAGTTTTACATGACTTTTTTAGTATTTATAGGATTGCGACTGACTGCCTTATAACAAGTTCTAGATTAAAGATTACAGACTTTTATTAGTCTTTAGGGATATACAAAGAATGCATTTGACATTGTGTTATTAAATAAAAATCTTTTTGCAAAACTAAATGCAGTAGACCCTCTATAATCCGGCGCTATTTCACTCAGACACTCCAGTAATCTGGTGTCTTTTGACAGGTGTGGTCTTCCACGATCGAGGCAAGATTCTGATTATCTCCCGCAGCCTTGTAGACATAATCATCTTCTCCCGTGGTTACAAAAATGTCAAGGTTGACTTGCGTGACTGCGGCAAATTCATTAACATCTCCTACGGTTGTGTGGACATTATCCGCAACCACAGCAAAATTCTGATCAGCTCCCGCGGCCGTTAAGACATTATTACTGTCTCCCGCTGTTAGGTAAATTTCATAGCCGTCAGATTCAATTGTGGCAAAATTATGAGCATCTCTCACAATCCTGTAGACATTATTATCGTCTCCTGTGGTCATGGAAACGCCATCGTCATGTGTGAACATGTCAATAGCGGTTTCCATGACCGCAGGAGACGATAATAATGTCTACAGGATTGTCAGAGATGCGGTTTCCGATGGTGCGATCTTTGCAGACGTGTTTTGTTAATTTTAATTGTTTATATTGACATTATAGTAATCCCCGGCATTTTCACTTATACGTCAGTATCATATCATGTCCTATATCTGCCAAATTACTGAGAGTCTACTGCATTATGAGGGACAGATTTATCCTGGCCAGTTTCCAACACAAATGTTGTACACGTTCTTCCCATTTTTTCTTATTTATTTGAATTCCCAGTAGTTTAACAGAACTTTCAGACTTGTATGATTTTTCCATTTACAACTTTTCTGGTATTATCACATTTAGAACTGCTGTTAGTACATTATGGTGAAGTCATGCTTATTTTGTTCGTTATGTTCACTCTTTTGAGATCACCTACGAAGTTTTTTTAGGTTGACACTTTCATTATTCACATATTTTTATATTAACACTGAATACATAACACATAATATTATTTACATATTACATACAGGCGTACATAAAAAAAAACGGAAGTTTTGCTGCCCCACCCTGTATTATTATTTACATCATCCAGTATGCCGGTATGGATTACATAATAAACTGTTTAGTTAATAAACACAAAATACATAATAGGTTTTACAGTATGTCTGATGATAATGCAATATTTTTGGTGCTGTATTGATAAACACTTGACGTGAATTAGCATATTATTGTATATTTTAGTTTAGTTATAATCCTGAAAATGCCATCTGTCTTCGCGAATTTCCCTATAGGGAGGTAGCTATTTTTATCTAAGCCTTAAAGATGTGACAAAGAATTATTTATTTTATTTATCTTTTTATTTAATAAACAAAAGTACTTAATCAGATTCACAATACAGTATGTTCGTTTGTTTTACATAATAACATTTGCAGTTAACATAATTTTTTTAATACATGACATAATTTACATAATACAGCGGTATGTTTTGAATAATAAATTCAATTATATATATTTTTTCTTACCGTCTACGCAATCAGGGGGCAATACTGCATTACAGCCATTTTGTAGATAGCCCCATCTTGAGGTGCATAGTGGTACAATAAACTATGGTCTTATTACACTAAACACGAGAAGTCTTCTTTTCATTCCGTCAGTGGTTAAATAAATATTAAACATTTAGTATTTATTTAACCACTGACTAAAACCATTCTCTTAGTGCAATTTACATAATGCAGTATGTTAGTATGATTTACACAATGCATTGTTAAACCTCGATAAACTATTAATTCAATTTATTATTATTCATTACATCACATGAATCTAATTAACCAATTGAATTTGACATACAATAGAATCAAACAGCTGATTTCAAGATGGTAACTATGAAATACTACCTACATTTCAATAAGATGTTTCGCTTTTAAATTCACTGTTATGCCCCTGAGCTGGAGATAACTATTTTAAGTCTTATTACTTACATCGTGAGCTCAAAATATTTTATAGTGAGTCTCAGTACATGTTTCGATACTACTGTGTCATCTTCAGCCAAGCACTAGTGAAGATTTTTCTACCAAATGTTTTTTGTGATAAATGAGTAGCGTCGAAAAGTGTTGTACCATAAAATATTTTGAACTGATGACGCAAGTATTAAGTCTTACAATATAATCCATCCAATCACCAAATTTTAAGTGGATCGAGTGATCTCAATTGAGTTGAAGTGATTTTATATCCAAAGTTCTAGTTATAAAACAATGATTGTTATTTCAAGGTTAGATATTTAAGACAGCATTTATTCAATGTTTTTTACCAATAAAATAATTTTGTTACATTTCTGTATTCTTTTCTGAGTAACCTCTAACCAAGTGTTATGCAAGGTTCTACTTCAGAATTCTGTTTGTTATTTTGTGTGTTTGAATATTGAAGATACACAGACTAGGCTGCAAAATATAGAGAATACAACCATCTGTATTCTTATTTAAACAATTTGTCTACTTAAATCATTCAAAATTTTAGTACTCAAATTATGTAGGTACTTCGAACATAAATATATATTTTTTAACTGTTATTAACAGCCTGGATGTTGTCTTGATGACCTCAGCCAAATAGACTGTTAAAGAGCTTTTAGTTCTGTAAAATTTATCCTACTATCATATAAGTTACAAATATGCTAGTAGTCATTTGAACATCTACAATATTAATCTTATTGAACAAGAGTCATTTAGTCATCATGACCTGTCTCTGTCTCATGCAACAGTGGCTATGGTGAGCGCCTGCCCAACATCGGCCGTACAAAGTACATTATACTGACTTTACATTGTCATAATAAACTAATATATATATTTTAAAAACTAATATACAGGGTGACACAAAGGAACCGGATGTTTTTTAGATACTGATGGTAGTACATAGTAGTTAAATGGAATAAAATGGTTTTAATACTGTACATAGTGAGGTAAGCATTTGCCATTTGTTACAAAACAGCCATTTTTTGAAAATGACGTCATGCATACGGCGGCCATGTACTTCTCTACAAATGTTCATTCTGGTCTGAAACTCGGGTCAGCAGGTATTGTTCAATGCCATATTGTATCTTCTGTGATTGCCAACTTCAAATCCTCTAGAGTGCGTGGTTTGTGAGCACAAACACGCTCCTTAAGAAACCCCCAAAGCAAGTAATCACCAGTGGACAAGTCAGGTGACCTTGGCAGCCACGCTATGCCACCAAAGCGAAAAAAAACCTTTGTTAGGAAATTTTCATTCAATACTGCTCTCACTCTGTCGATGTTCTCGTGTGTTCTCGAAGTTCTAACAAGGCCTGGTGGTTTCTTTCTTGTTATATTCCTAGTTTTTCGGGACCTTGAAACCCATCTTAATAGTGTATTTTGGCTTGGAACGGTTCCATGGCGTTCAGTATTAAAATGTCGACTATATTCCCGCTGGATTTGACGACGGATTCACCATTTTGGACCAAAGTATTTTATGCGAAAACGTGATTAGAGTCCAAAGAGCCATTTCAACAAAAATGTCAAGCCTCACTGAAGGTAATGACATACCCTCAATCTTCCTACCACGTGTTACAACAATGGAACAGCTGTTTAAAAAACGTCCGGTTTCTTTGTGTCACCCTGTATATTGGTCAGTCGGTAGCATCACGGACTTGAGGGCCAAGGTAGCAATGTCATGGGTTCAGATCCTGGTGTCTGCCTCTTCTTTTTACCTTATACCGTGGCAACAAATTTACCCACAACCACAAGCTAACTAGGTTATGATGTGAAAAATGAAGTGAGAGTCTGTAACCCATTACTGCGGTTTATTATTATTATTTTGTAGCATTACTGGCCATTAGTATTGTCCAGCCTCAAAGGAATAATGAGTAGCACCTCGGCCTCAACTGAAAAATCTCAACAGCTAAGATGATTTGTACTAGATTTTTATACTACATGACATGTTTATTTCCAGTAGACATATTACAAATGTATTGGAAGAGTCAAACATTTTCATGCAGAGCAGTTGTCAAATTGAGAATTATGTTACAAAGTGTACTTTGAAGTCTACGAAGGAAAAAAATAGCATTTTAAGTTAATAAGTAGGTCTTAAACTAATATCACAGAGTTTATCACTATCACTATCGATAAGTAAAAACAACCGTATGAAAGTTAGCAAAACATTACAAAATTTGACAGGTTGTACTACAAGGCACAATAGTTAGACAAAGACCACTAAAAACATAACTTTGATGAAGGAAGGTCTAAAAAGTATTTGAGTTCGTAAAAAGGATTAGCCATTGGAAGACTTTTTGTTTAAAAGAATTATATAGGAGAGAAAACATAAATGTAGGAATCTTATTAATACATTTCATGTAAACTATTTCATAGCTTTTCTTGGATTTCTCCAGTCTAACATAGGGAATGTTAAGTTTATGTCTGAAACGGGTATTGTGCTGGTGGACATCTTTACAGAAGTTAAAAGCATTAAAATTTTAAAAATAGTTAACATTAACAATATAAAAGTTAACAACAGTGAGAATATTAAATTCAATAAAGATTGGTTTATGGTGTTCAACTTTGGCCATTATTCTTAGAATCATTTTCTGAAATACCCAAACCTTTTTTACATGTGGAATATTCCCCCAAAAAATTATTCCATACTTACTGCTGATTGGAAGAGGCCATAGTAAACATTTCAGACAATCTAACGGTATTACATAGCTTCATTTTCTAAAAAAGCACTTTAATCGACTCAGCCTAGTACAAAGTTGGTTTATACGAGGCTCCCAAGACAAATTTTGATCCAATGTATCACCAAGAAATTTTACATGAATTCTAGACACCATAGTATCTAGAAGTTCCCTAAGACTAAAAATTTGGTCTAAGGTTTTGTCCTTATTTAAAAGAAAGCTGTTGGTAGCAAACTATTTTGTGGCCCTATCAATTCCATGAAGAACAGAATTTTTAAGGTCAGAGATATCTCTACCAATATTAAACATGGTGGTGTCATCTGCATATTGAAAATGATTTCCATTTAAGTTACAAGGTAGATCATTCACATCAATAAGAAGCAATAAAGGACCAAGTACAGAGCGACCAGCCCTGAAACCAAACTGATGTTGATTAAAAAGTGAGTTAGATTCAAAAAACTGATGGATTTAATCATAAATTACATGCTCAAAAATATTTGCCAAGACAGGAACCAGACTTATGGGCTGATAACTACCAACATTATTCCAATAACCTTTCTAAAATTTTGGAAAAATGTTGGAACGTTTGAGACACTTGGGAAAGTGTCCCTCTAGACAAGTGTTAATGCTATAGGTGAGAGGTACAATGATTAGGTCAACATTAGGTTAAAATTAGGATTAAAAATTAGGTTAGGTGATTGGGTTAAAATTATTATTACTAGCAGGGAAAGTACTTAAGAAATCTTTGAAATTAACATTGGGGCGCTTAATTTCAAATCTAACTTTGTCGACAGAGTCAATCAGGGATTTGCTAAAAACGTCTAGATCTATACTCTATAGGTATATTTACCGAGGAGAAGTTAGATTGACAGTTCTTTTTAATAAATAAATAGGCTGTTTTACACTTTTATAGCATTATAGACAAGTTTTGCATTTTTTACAGCTTTCTTATACTCTTTCTTCAAGTTACAATAGTCAATATTTATAAAAGGTGAAAAATAAGTTTTAAGTTTGTCATAGGCTACATCATTTTGTTCCTTGAGAACACTAAGGTTGGCAGTGTACCAGCTTTTATTTGACTTTACATTACGATTTTATTTTGTATTACACTTGTTCAGAGGAAAGCAAATATCTATTTCATGGAAAAGAGTACTATTAAGTAATGCAAAAGCTTTACCTGGAGGCTGGGGTAAGTAGGTTCCAGTTGGAATGTTTAGTTCAAGTTCCCAGTCAATATTTTGGAGTCTAGTTTTAAAAATATCACAATTTTGCTTTTTTTCTTTTTTTTTCTACGCCAGTGGCATTTCACAAGAGAAGTTACGAGAGATTAAATGTTTAGTGGATGTGCAGGGGATTGAAACGGTCCCTCCCACACCGAAGTCCGAGACGCTAACTACTTGGCTTTGAGCTTTGAGCTTTGAGAAAGACCTTTTATACATGGATGTTAGAGTAAGAGAAGATACTGAGTAACTGTCACAGACAAAATGTAAAGATAGTCCATCATGATCCGAGAAGTGGAATTGCTTGACAGTAGATATTCTCTGGCCCGATGTTAGTGAATATGTTGTCTAGGCAGGTAGCCCCATGTGTAGGTAGGTTGTAAGAATCCCTTACTAATCCTAGCATTACAATTCAGAGCCTCGGAGACAGAAGTCATAATGAATGTACCTACTAATTACAACCATAGACAAAAATAATTAAATATAGACTGTCAGCTGTGCTGCGGTTACCATAGCTTCTGGCGCACACCGCTTGGAGCGCCATGTAGTTACGGTGTACACGCTACGTAAACTACAGCGGTGTGCGCCGGAACCTATGGTAACCACAGCACGGCTGACAGTCTATATTTAATTCTTTTTGTCTATGTTATAACTTAGGCTAAGCAAGAGACATTTTTAGAAGTGAAATTCACTAGGTTGAATGTACCATCTCTATTGCTTACCCTTAGTCTTTTATTCATAAATGATTTACTTCTGTGTTTAAATATTGTTGATTATCAATCTTATAATTTTAAAGCTTATTCCTCCTTAACCTGTACCATAATTATTACAGGCTCTATCAAATTATAGATGGATTATTCAAAGCAATCATTCTATCTATATTAATTATACACTACATGAAACATTGTAAACAATAAGGCTTTTATTTTGTTTTAAGATTTAACCCCACGTACCAAAATGTTTCTCTAGGTGTGTAGATTTGCAATCTGACCTTACATTTGTGAAAAAGTCCCTTGGGCTCTGTTCCAGTGGATTTTAAAGTTCCCATGTTATCCTTATGAAGAACACATTTGTTTAAATTATGAACAGCTGGATAATTTAATTGCTGTTAATATTTTAGCTGCAATTTAAGGAAACATTTGCTAAAAAGCCTGGACAATTTAATATACTAAAAAGAAAACTGAATTAACACTCTGCTGCATTTCTTGAGCAATCATTGAAAGAGCCGATTTTCAAACTATGGAAACATAGGAAAGTCATAGAACACCACGACCACCAAGTAGAATAGTAATAGAAATTATGTTTTTTTTTTTTATTTATAATCCATGAGTGGTAAACATGTGTAGAAAATACAAAAAAAGATCAGCTTTTGAAAAATGATAAGATATTTAGAAGAATATTGATTCAAACTGTTATGTAGGTACATCGTGA